AGACGCCACTGCTAATAGACATATAAATACAATAAAATAAAGTATACCGGGTGCGTTTCAAAAGTGGCTCACTTCTATAACTTTTTTATTTTTTCAGATAAAAAAATAACAAAATTTGGTAAGTTAGTATATGACATTTGATTGAAACATTCAATTGTTTTTGGTCACTTCCTCTTTAACCGGAAATGAGTATAACTTTTGATTTTTAAATGGCACCCGGTATATTTCTACTTTATTATTTATAGAAAACGACACTCTGAATAGAATGACATAATGAATAGAATGACATTTAATTGAAATTGTAACATGCGGTTCATAACGACAATTTGACTCGAAATACCAAGTGTGTGGTACCAATAAATTATTCGTAAAAAATGTTTTTTTTTCAAAAACGCTAATGAGGCACCCTTATTCCATTTGAAAAAATTGCGACATATGCCTAAAAATACGACTTGGGCATGTTTTAACCGGCCTAAACAAGACACGAAAAACATTAGATGATCAAAACTATTTTTCCAAGGCTCCTTGCTTAAAACTTAGTGATGTTCTTAACACCGCCATGGCACTCTAGATTGAAATTTAAAATACGATTTGTTTTAAGCGAAAATGTCAAAAGTTGACATATGATATGTCAACTTTCTTTCTCTATTCAGAGTGTCATTTTCTATCGAATAAAGTAGAAATATACCGGGGGTGCCGTTTAAAAATCAAAAGTTGTAGTCGTTTCCGGTGAAACAGGAAGAGACCAAAAACAATTGAATACGTCAATCAATTCTAATTTATGTCATATACTAACATACCAAATATCTTTTTTTTATCTAAAAAAATAAAAAAAGTTATAGGGGTGAGCCATTTTTGAGACTCACCCGGTATTCAATATAAAAAAAATATACTTTTAATGACAAATAAATTTATTTATAAATTATGACGACATATTAATATAGTAAATGGATAATAAAAATACTTAATTTTTCTCCAATAAATGGTCCCCAGAAAACCATCAGATCAAAATGTTGAAAAATACATTTATTTTTAAATGTCGTTTTGTAAGAAATTGGGAAATAATTTAAATGGCTTAAATTTTTTCCAAACAATTACGTAGATGCATTTTTAACATTTACCGTTTTCAACATGCATAATTAACATACACAAAATCCGTTCTTCCGTTAATTAATTACAATAACATACATATACAATAAATATACTTAAAATAAACTTATAAAATATATGTTTGTACTTATTATAAAAATCGTTAAATATTTTGATTATATAAATTTAACTTACTGGGACACGCTATTTATCCAAATTAAAGGTAATAATCCAAAAAAATGTGAACCTGATATGTCTGACACGCACTATTTTCGAAAATTTTCGTTGGGAATCGCGGGAAAATAGGAAAATGGGAAAACCTGCCGAAAGCCGAATATTACAAAACATTAGCGAACACGATCACATTTAAACTGAGTTTGTTTACGTTAAAAAGTTTATTTCGCTTGGTCTGTCAGTGTGTTACGAAAAGCCTACTATTTTAGCAGCCTTCACCTGCGTATTGCTTGCTGCTCGCTGATGCGACGGTAATTCAGTCGGAGACAATTTTTGTTAATTAAAGATGGTTAGTTGGTGTTATGTTTTACGTTATTAGCTAAATAGTATCTGTATCACCCAAATTCTACAGGGTCCCTATTATGTATGGAAACGGTCGATTATTAGGTAAAATATAGGAGGTATAGCAAAAAGTTAAATACAAAAATTAAAGGGTTTTTAAATGTCTATTGGCGAGTAATAAATTTATGTATACGGGGTTGATCATAAAGTCGTGTCACATCAAAGTTTCATTTTTTTAAATAGAACCCCCTGTATATTATTGCATATTTCATTTTCTCTTTCAATTCCACGCAAAAATCGAAATACACACAATGTACCTCAAACCAACCGTTTCCGAGTTATTGAATTTTATATCACTTAAACAATTTGATTTAATTAATTTCGATATGTTCAATTTCATTTAATGATGCCGGAACTATGATATTGTTGTAATGGGGTTTTAACTAAGGGTTTTAAATGCCTATTAGCTACTAGTATATTTAAGTATGCAAGATCGGTCATAAAGTTAAACTTTATTTTTTTTAAAGGAAACCCCCTGTATATTATTGCACATTTCACTTCTTCCTTGAATTTTAAGCAATAATCGTAATACACAATGTACATAAATTGAAGAATTTAAATGTCAACGAAAATTCTGTAATTTCCAGACTTGATATAACCTCATTTTATACATCTACTAGCGTGTACCAGCGACTTCGTTCGCGTCGAATTAATCATTTGTAATGGTGATGATAAAGCAAAGCAAGAATTTCCATTAACATACAAACTGGATAAAATTTTCTCACATTTATGTCAGCATGAGAAAAAAATATATGGCGATATTATTATATAACTTAGTAATATTTGAGGGGTAGTTTCATCTCGTTGGAATTTGACTTTCGAAAAATCCGTTTGCCAAAAATAAGCTTTTAACGTCAAGCCGTTTAAGCAGAATCGTGGTTAAGAAATTACCCAACTTTTTGGAACACCCCGTATGATTTTAAAAAAAAAATTAAAATATGTAAAAAAAACAAATAAATTATGCTTGTCCAAGCGTTTTCCCGAAAGACTAACCGTTTTTTAAATAACAAATATTGTAATATTTGAGGGGGCGTTTCAACCTCTTGGAATTTGAGATTCGAGAAACCCCTCCTTATCGAACCCCACAGTCAATCCGTTTGCCAAAAATCAGCTTTAAACGTCAAGCAGTTTAAGCAGGATCGTGATTAATCAATGACCAGATTTTTTAAAACACCCTGTATACATTATTAAAAAATCTTGAAATATGTAAAAAAACAAAATAAAATATACGTGTTTAAGCGTTTTTTCGGAAACTTGACCGTTTTTTAAATAAAAAAATATTGTAATATTTGAGGGGTGGTTTCACCCTCTTGAAACTGGAATTTCGAAAAATCCCTTCTTATCGAACCTCTACACCCTAGAATCAACCTGTATGCCAAAATTGAGCTTCTTACGTTGAGTGGTTTGAGCAGGATCGTGATTAATGAGTATGTCAGTCACTTAAGGATTTTATATATTAGTATAGATAAATGTTAACTTGAGAACTAATGTCAAATATTATCAAATATCACCGTTTCGGCAGAATGGCATCCTTAAATGAAACTAAACATATCGAAATTAGTTAAATCAAATTGTTTAAGTGATATTTTAAAAAGGTTCCAATAACTCGGAAACGGTTGGTTTGAGGTACATTGTGTGTATTTCGATTTTTGCTTAGAATTGAAATATGCAGTAATATACAGGGGGTTCTATTTAAAAAAAAGAAACTTTTATGTGCCACGACTTTATCGCCCACCCTGTATACTTAAATTTATTACTCGCCAATATTTTTAAAAATCCTATAACTTTTGTATTTAACTTTTTGCAGTACCTCCTATATTTTACCTAATAATCGACCGTTTCCATACAAAAAAGTGATCCTGTATTTTATATTATGTCAATTTTTGACATTTTCGCATATGGTTTATTTGAAATTGTAACATGCGGTTCATGACGACAATTTGACTCGAAATACCAAGTTAACCTGCCAGGAAAAGACACGAAAAGCATTAGACGATCCAATATATTTTTCCAAGGCTCCTTGATTAAAAATTAGTGTTTTTAACACAGCCATGGTACTCTAGAGTTAAATTTAAAATACGTAATATTTTTTTAAACAAAAAATGTCAAAAGTTGACATATGATACGTCACTCTACTCAGAGTGTCATTTTCTATCGAATAAAGTAGAAATATACCGAGGGTGCTATTTAAAAATCAAAAGTTTTGTAGTAAATTCTGGTGAATTTACTACAACTGCCGATATGTAGGGGTGAAAAATGCGTTATAAAGTACAAATAATATACTGGACTTTTATTCCAGCGATATAAACAGTTCTATTAGTGAGAGATGTTGTGCAGTTAAGAAAAAAAAATAGTCTGGCTAATCTGTGAGATAGGGTAATATGTCTGGCAGGTGAAAAATTGAGTAAAAAATTATTAAAACCATTGCCCTTATTTTTGTCATCAAAAAAAAATCATTCGCCAATAACTTTATAATCATCAGAGATATAAGAAAGTTGTATTAATAAATGCAAAATATTATTTATTGTAGAAAATTTAATTCTCTACAAAATCGATCTCTTGACTTTATTTTGTATCTCCCTTAGTTTTTGAGTTATAGCAATAAAAAAATCTAGTAACGTGACTTGTTCTAAACTTCTCATTATGTGAATGTGTTTGGATCTAGAACCATTTTTGAAATTAAGAGTAAAGTTTCTCGATTTTGCTGTATTGAAAATCACGAAATTGCAGTGTCAAAAATTTTCGCATCTAAAAATACGAAATATACGATCTGATTTGTGAGTCTGGCCAGACATGTATTTTCTATGAAATTATAGTCTTATTTATTATGTGGCAAATTTTCATGGGAAAATAAGGGTTACGGATTTCAAAAATCTGTCAAATTTTTGCATCCGCAAATTTTCAGCCAGACTGACTTTCCTCCATTTGGCTTGTCCCAGACTGTTCTTTCCAATAATAAAATGATTCACTTTAATAAATGTCAAATACTTATGACTGGAAAAATAAGTGGGCTTTAAAATAGTTTAAAAGGAATTATTTTTATAGTATAGATCATTTTCATAAATCAATTACATATGACAAGTTATTGTACATTCCTACACATAACGTCGACATGTAAAAAGGGTAACGCAAATATTCACGACAGCCTGCATAAAACTATATTCAACAAGACACATTTCAATTTTTTTTTGCTATAGAATTTTTTTAACTTCGATTCTTCAAAAACATAATCCATTGTTTTTGCAGCAAAACAATATGTCATATATGGCGTCCGGTATATTTACTAAACGCAATTCCTTTTTCCAACTAATTATGTCAATATAAAAACAACTTACCTTAGTAGCAGTTGACATGTTTGATTTGAATTTTCACAAATTCTGGATGTTTTCCTTCCACTTTCCACTCAACACTTCATACACATTTCGTCCGATCAATACAACAGCCCAACGAAGAAAATTGTGGTCCGAAGCCTTCCAACTGAGCGTTTGCGCAGCTTGCAGGTCTGATTTTCCAGATTTTCCACCCCCAAAAATTTAGCACACCAACTATCGTTTTACAAGGTCAATCTTAAACTATGCCAAATATATCAAAGTAGTAGCATTTATCTAAAAGATAAATCGCAAAAAACCATGGATATTTTTGTGCCCAAAAAATTAGTTTTTTTTATAATTAAGATTCAGACCGGTCTTCAGTGGTGTAGCAGATCTATATTTATTAAACAAAATAAATTCCCTTAAGTAATTATTATCAAATTTTATAAATAGTTTATTATTTTCTCAATCGACATAGACTCCAAGGAAAACGACTAAGTAGGTATTTGAATTTAGCTGAAATTTTTGGAGCGTATGAAGGCTTATTTGGACTAATACGTTTTAAAATTATTTAGAGGTCTACAGGATGTCGCCAAAAAAATTTATGTATCAATGGAATGATTTTTTTAAACATAGCATCCTATACAGGATGAGTCTTCATCATCATCATCATCATTTTCAGCTTATTCAACCATTTCCAATTATGGTGTAGCTTCCCTCACATACTCTCTTTGTAGTTGGGCCCATTCTTGCCTATTTTGGCTATGCGAGCCCAAATTGTCGTTGCTAATTTCCTAATATCGTGGTCCCATCTCAGGTTCGGTCTTCTTCTAGGTCTCTTAATTCATCGTGGTTACCATGCTGCAATTTTTGTGGTCCATCTATTGTCTGTTCTTCTCGCCAGGTGTCCTGCCCATTGCCATTTGTGGGATTTGACTGTGGATGACATAAATTACCGGGGTCTTTTGTTGTATCCACTCTATTCTTTTACGGTCTCTATAATGGTTATTCCCAGCATATTTCGTTCCATTGAACGTTATGCGACCTGCAGTTTCCTTATATGATGTCCGTTTTAAGTGTCCAGGTTTCGCATGCATAGGTCGCATGAATTGGTCGAATGTTTTCTTCTTTAGATAGAGTGGCATTTTAGATTTGAGTATGATTGAGTTTCTTCCGTAAGTACTCCATGTTAACATAATTCTTCTGTTGATTTCTGGTAGTAGAGATCGTGAGCTGTGTATTAGTTGTCCCAAATATGTATTCTTCTCTTATTTCCTGTATTGTGTTTATTAGAATGTCTTTTTTTCCACTAGTTCGTTTTACATTACTTTAGTTTTTGCTAAATTCATTTTTCCTCTTTATTGCTGGCTGTATTTACTTCATTAATTTAGGCTTGTGTTCATCATGGCTTCAGGACTATTGGCAATTAGGAGTATGTCATCAGCAAATCTTAGATGGTTAAGATATTGTCCATCTATTTTTAATCCTTTGTTAGTCCAAATATTTTTTGGGCTAGTAGATCTCAACAAAAGACACATGTTTTCTCTTTACAGTTTTTCAAATAAGTCCGAAATAACCGAGATATTTTACTTTGTAAATTAAAAAAAAATATATTTTTTGTATATGATGAATTTATTATTTTTTTAAATAAAACTTTTCAAAAAATTCCAATTTTTTATTTTTTTCCCAAAGAGAACTTCATAAACGTGTTTCTGGAGTCGAAATATACTACCCTTAAAAATATTTACTCTTATTTAAGACTCACCCTGTATACTTTAACGTATAGAATGCTATACAGATTACATTATAATTTAGTTAAAAACTTGATAATGAAATAAAAAAATTGGCTTTAATGTTATAACAATATCCCAAAATCACCTAATACTACAGTTCTACATGACTTATTCATGTGCAGTTTTTCATTAAAAAATCTCATCTGTGACTCTTTGATATATAGTTTTTTGGAGGCACCCTGTAGAATTTCAAAAAGTAATGTTCCAAATAATTTGTGTATAAGTATCTTATTCAAATTATTAAATCATATTATATTATTAAATCATATACTAAATACATAATTAACACAATGTTGTTTTTGTCATTTTTAAGTCACAGATAAATTTATTTTCTGTCATATTTTTTTTCCTGGCTCGTTGGACAGACTATATATACTCAGTTTATATATATGAGAGGTTGAGTATCAAAATTCCTTCTATCGATAAGTTTACAAAATGGACAATTTTAACTTGTGGATTATTCAGAATACAGTATAGAATGAATTCTGCCATAAAAATTATACTGAATATTGTGCAGAGTGGCCAATACTAGAGTACGTATAGATATTTTTAGCCAAATTACCAAAAATGGATAAGACACTACCTCTACTCTCTACTCTACTGCTCTATCTCTCATATTACCGTATGATCGAAAAAAAGAACGGCGTCCAGTTGGCTGGGAAATGACGATCGATGATATTTCCCATATAAATTTACATATAAAATGACAGCGATCTTCATTTCATAGCCATCGCTGACGCCATTTTTATTCGATCATAAGGTATAATAGTTCATAGTTCAAGCTAACTAATGACACACATTTGTGTATACATATTAAATTAACAAGCCTATGGACAAAATTTTGTTAAAAAACATGATTCTTTGGACTTGGTTGTTGGTTATAGTTGTGTAGTTTACTTTTTAAGTACCCAAAAGACTTAAAAATAAAAATTATTTTTTAACTGTATTGTCGCACTATGTATAATGATTTATTTGTTTATAAATTGGGTTAAGTGTCAAGTATCCACTTATAGAGAGACCAAGAATTATAAGAACAGGAATATTTAATGTATTTGTGTATATTATACCATTTTAGTCGCCAGCTTAATGTTTTAATGTCTATATCTTTAATAAATATACATGGTATTTCATAACAAAAAACAAGTGGGGTAATTCATTGGTAGTATTAGGGGTAGTTGGTAGTTTCATATACGGGGTAAATCTTAAATAAGTGCAAATATTTTTACGGGTGGTATATTTCGACCCCATTTATGAGGTTTTTTTGCGAAAAATAAATTTTGAAAATTTGGAAATTTTTTTAAAATGTTTTGGAAATGTTTTTAACTTTAGTTAAAAAACATAATATCTTGATGTTATGGCAACAAGGTAGTAAATTAAATTTATAAAAAAAGAAAACCCAGAAAAAAATAGCGATTCTCAAAATATAAGCAAAAAATATATAATTTTAATTTTTAAATCAAAATAACTCGGTTATTTTGGATTTATTTGAAAAATGGTAAAGAGAAAACATGTTTATTTTATCGAGTTCTACCAGCCATGCAAATATTTGCACTTATTTAAGACTCACCGTGTATATAAATAACATTGAATCAAACCAATAATTAGCGAGATATTGCTGTACAGGGTGGGTCAAATTCGACGCTTTTAAATGGAAACACCCTTTTCTATAGGAGATAGACGAAAACTAATATCGGTTTCTGGAGCTCAATTTTCATGAAAAACATGATGGTGAAAACCGCACATCAATATCTGTTACTGTTTCGAAGTTACGGGGTGTTTTTCAAAAACGTGCATTTTTAACAAATCGCGTAACTTTTTTGCTATGGAAAATTTTGTATTTCTATGAAAACATTTTCAAAGCACCTTTTTACGTAGAATTTAATGGTTTAAGTATAATTATTTTAAAATTAATAATTTAAGAGTTATCAACAGAAAAAATGATTTTTTATTTGAGACACCCTCTATATTTTTAATTAACTGAAAAGAATTTAAAATTACCTTTCCAAAAATGTAGCACACTTGATATTTTGTTATAATCCCCTTCGAAATACAGAATTTTTGAAAGTTCGTCACTTTTAACTAGTAGGTTTTGGACCCCTTATTGATGATATGCCCTTAATGGAACTCGAAAACATATTTTTCCAGCAAGACAACAGCACCGCCTCTGAAAGCTGATGAGCAGCAAATTTTTGCAGCCAATTTCAAGAATAATTGGATAGCTAACCAAGATCCCAGCCGTGGGCCGTCGAGGCCGCCTGACTTAGTGCCCAGAGATCTAATCCTATGGATATATTTGCGGAAGAATAAAGGTTCCTTATTCTTCCGTATAATCTAGACAAGAATTAAAAATACAGCAGTTATGAGAGGGTATCTTTCACCCCCCACTGAGTTAATGAATTCCGCGAGACATTTTCAAAAACTGTCCCGTCTGTCCATAACAGAAGAGGGTCGATATGTTGAACACCTGCTGTAGCAAAATCTGATTTCTTTGTTTGCTATTTATTTTTATTGTTAATAGATATAGTTTAAATGTGTTGATGTTGGTTAAATATATTTTAAATTGTTATAAAATTCTGCATCTCTCATAGCAAATATTATTTTCGTTTTAATTGATGCTCACAGCTAGAATTTTTTTGTATTAGATACAGCCGGTGCCGTTCAAAGCTTACTTATTTAAAGCGGGCGAATTTTTATATACTCTATATCTCGAAGAGGAATAGAGCAAAATATCAAGTTTGTTATATTTTTGGAAAGGTAATTTTAAATTATTTTCAATAAATTAAAAATATACAGGGTGTCCCATATAAAAAATCAAATTTTCTGTTGATAATTCTTAAATTATTTAAAAAAATACAAAATTTTCCATACCAAAGAAGTTACAGCGATTTGTTAAAAATGCATATTTTTGAAAAACACCCCGTAACTCCGAAACGGTAATAGATATCGATATGCAGTTTTCACCATCATGTTTTTGACAAAAATTGAGCTCCAGCCACCGATATTAGTTTTTGTCTATCTCCTATAGGTTTTTGTCTATCTTTTATAGAAAGGGTGTTTCTATTTAAAAGCGTCGAATTTGACCCACCCTGTACAAAGGTGGCGAAAAAATAATGTTTATAATATTTCACCCAATTTACAGATTTTACGGAGGCCCGGGCCTCATGGCCCCCATCTGTATCCGCCACTGCCGACGCGGAATTATTCATATTTTATTTTTTACTCTCACATCGGGTAAGTTTTAAGAAAAAAATAGGGAGGGGATTAATATTAGCATTATTAACATCTTTACGAAGATTTTTGACAGGAAATCACCCTTTAAAGATTTTTGCAATTTGTTTTGAAACACCCTGTATAATTAAAACAAAAAATATGATTACTTAAGAATAAATATAAAAAAATAAGAATTGATAATTAAATATTCCAAAATTTTTATTTATTCATTTTTCATAAATATTTCATTTATTCAGAAAATTATGCATTTATTAATGGAAATAAATAACGCGAATTAAATATTCTATTTCCTAAAATAAGAATAAAATAAATATATTTATAATGAATAAAAAGCATTATCTTAAAAATGCGTTTGCTTTATAATAAACTTCCTCGATAAACTTTGTCGATTTGCAAGAGCCAAGCTGTTTAAATTTACCGCCAATACCGTTATCAGCGCCACTCTTGATAGAATCGTCAAGTTTACAAAACACTGCTTGATCTGGCGTCACCAAGTCGTTGTGTGTTCATTTTTTTGCGTTTTTCTCATATTTCTGACAAAATTACCCACAAGTGTGCCATAATATAGTTATTTCCAATATAATTAAGGTAAGGAATATGCAGGTCCGTTAATGGGTTCTGGAGAAAGCTTCCTAGACTGTATTGAACGATCAAATGCTCTCGGTCATGTCTGCTTTATTTTTGTTGTTGAGAAAAAAGCTAAAGCTGCTCTTGATAAATACCAAGTTTATAGGAAGTATACAGTTAGTACCATACGCTTAACTGTTAGAAATGTACGTGTAGTGCAGTGTACTGTGAAATAAATCATAACATGGCTACAGATTTTCAGTTTTATGTGACTCAATTTAATAATTTGTGAGTCATTTGTTGTATTTGTTTGATTTTTCTCGGAAATTATATTCCAAAATTTAAGTGTTTTCAAATTTCGTTTTCTAGAATTGTAACACGCGAAGAGTGATATATAGTTATAGTTATAAATTGTTGTGGGAATGGGACACTGCTATCGAAATAACAATAACGTATTTTTATTTAAAATAACACTAGTTATTTGGTTGGCTATATAAAATTAAAATTGCATTAAACTTATATATATTATAACAAAAGTAGAATGTCGTCAAAGTGCTTTTTAGAAACTTCTATAATAATTTATGATTAACCGGTTGTTATGTTCTAAACATTTTGTATTATAAAAAAAGTATTTTAAACGTGTTTAAAGAACCATTAGGTATTTGTTTAAAACTTGTGTAAGTTATAAGAAAAGTGGAATGTTGTCAAGGTGCTTTTTAGAAATTTTTATAATTTATGGTTAAGTAAGTTTAGGATATAATTGGTTATCAATTTTTTAGTATAAACATGGACACAGATGAAGGTGAATCTTCTAGCAGTGGACCAATTCAAACCCTGAACAGCTTATTTTCATTTACCAGCCCTGCAGTTAAAAAACTTTTGGGGTGGAAACAAGGTGACGAGGAGGAACAGTGGGCTGAAAAAGCAGTGGATAGTTTAGTGAAAAAGTTAAAAAAACGAAAAGGTGCAATAGACGATTTGGAAAGGGCCTTAAGTTGTCCTGGACAACCAAGCAAGTGCGTGACTATCCCTAGAAGTTTGGATGGCAGACTACAGGTTTGTAAAATTTTTCTTTTGATATAGCTATTCCAATATTAGTACAGTGTTGACAATGGTTACTTCTGTTGTAGGTTTCTCATAGGAAGGGGTTGCCCCATGTAATATACTGCCGTGTATGGAGGTGGCCTGATTTACAGAGCCATCACGAATTAAAACCTTTAGAAACATGCCAATACCCGTTTTCATCTAAACAGAAGGAAGTGTGCATTAATCCTTATCATTATAAAAGGGTAGAGAGTCCAGTCTTACCACCAGTCTTGGTACCACGTCATAATGATTTTGTACCAGGCCATTCGTTATTGCCATTCCAACAAATAGTCGAACCAAATATGCCTCATAATATGAGATATTCTTCAAATGGTTTTAATTCGGCCCACATGAGCCCTAGCTCTCCTATATCTAATGCATCTAGTCCAGGAAGTGTTATTTCAAATCCTCAATCTCCATATGCCAACTTGGCTGAAACACCTCCACCTGCATATAGTCCAACAGATGAAAATGCGTCAACAACCAATAACAATCCCAGCCCAGAACCACCTCTAACACAAGATGTTCAAGCAGTGCCATACCAAGAACAACCATACTGGGCATCAATTGCTTACTATGAGCTCAATAGTAGAGTGGGTGAAGTTTTCCATTGTCACTCTACATCAGTTATAGTGGATGGCTTTACCAATCCAAGTAACAATAGTGATCGGTTTTGTTTAGGGCAATTAAGCAATGTGAACAGAAACAGTACTATTGAAAATACAAGAAGACACATAGGAAAAGGTTTCAAATAATTAATAGTTTACTTTAATATACTGACATATTTATTATTCAAGGTGTACATTTATATTATGTTAATGGAGAAGTATATGCAGAGTGTTTGTCAGATTCACCAATATTTGTACAATCAAGAAATTGTAACCATCACCATAACTTCCACCCCTCTACAGTGTGTAAAATTCCAGCGGGGTGTTCCCTGAGGATCTTCAATAATGCAGAATTTGCTCAGTTGCTGTCCCAATGTGTAAATCATGGTTTTGAAGCAGTATATGAGCTCACCAAAATGTGTACCATTCGAATGAGCTTTGTTAAGGTACTGTGTGTTTTTTAATAATAAATTAATATGTTTAATATTAATTAACAAACATTTAATATATTTACAGATATAACATGTTAAAATATATTAGTTAAAATATAATGTACTGAGATCTAAACTCTTAAACTATAAATTACTTATAAAAATAATGTTGACATAATTGTCTAAAATCAGCTTTTGAATTTGAAACAATTCACAGTACTTTGAGTAATACATATATATTAAAAAAAGGATTTGTCTGTATATTTATGAAAAGGTTAAGATTTTCTGTTCACATGTTTATTTTTTTCTGCATTAATTTTATTATTTTGGTTAGTATCTACAAATAAAATAATATTTTTAAAATTCTAAAGGTGGATTTTTTATAATCATGTATAGATTACAGGGTGGCCTAGCATTTCTGAATAGCTCAATTGGCATTTCTCAATAAGAACAATGGTTGTGTACATTGTCTTGGTAAATATACAGTATGATTCTATCTCAAACATACTTCCAAAATTAAAACGAAATATTTTTAAATGTTATGTATTTTTTGATATTTTTCTATATACATTTTTACCTCTGTAGATTTGATTTTAAGTTTCCATTCCTACAAAGAGGTCATTCTCATTCCTACCATAATTTAATATTCTATACCAAGTGGTTTTTGAAATATCGCATTTTTCAAATTAAACCTTCTGCATATTTAAAGCTCTCTCAGAATTATAAAGTTACTTGTATTTTTTGATTGTAAATAGTTATTTTATAGCAGTGTTCATATCAAACTAGGTGTACTCAAATACATTATGTTATATTGCACAGGACATGGTATAGGCTGGTTCAAAACTTGATGGGAAAAATATTTTTCTCTGCTGTTTCAAATACAGTTTGTTATGAGTTGAGCGAACACATTTTATTTTAGAGCTTTAGTTTTTTTTACAAACTCGAAGTTTATACACTAATTTTTTGATTTATAATGATTATTTCCTATTGCATCAGTACAATAAATTGTATTTCTTAATTAATCAAGTGAATTGATCATTGAATTGATTAAATGGTTTTCAGTTTTATTCTGCTCTATTGTAGATAGGTATGGTCTCTTTTAATGGTAAACAATGATATATTTTCAATGATAATAATGACATATTTTCAAAAAAAAACAGAATTTTCTCAGCAATCACAGATTTTAGGTAGGAAGTGCGCAATAAAACATAAATATTAAACAAATATCTGATTGTTTAATACAATGTGCTTCATTTGAAATACTGGAAAAAATATATTTTATTTTAATCCTGTTTAAAGGTTTCAAATATTGTGTAAATTTTAGCAGCCGAATTTTGAAAAAAAAGTTAGTGTATTTCATTTGAAATAGTGGATTAGGACACTATTATACTGTAGTTTTGGTAAAAAAGTTTAATACATTTTCTACTTTACAGTTTTAAATAAATGGCAAATTTAATTGTTTATTTGTTAATCACATTGCTTACATATTTTATAAAAGGATTTGTTTGGATTGTTGAAAATCTTAGACTATAAACCCCGATATATACAGTATGTCCCCGGATTGTCTTTACAAGAGGTATATAAAACCTTTTTACTATTAACATTTTGAGAAAAAAGCATTCTTCGTAAAAAAATTTCCTTGTTCTAAGATGGTTAATTCTGTTTATACTTTCCATGCCGTATTAGAGAAAATTAAAAAAAAAAGCATGAAAACATGGTTGAAAATGCGTTTCTATGGTAATGTAATTTCGTTTTCATTCTTTGATAGATATGCTCTGTTCTTTTCTCAGGTAAGATTTCGACAGACGATGACAGAAGAAAAGCAGATGACGTCCCATACCAATCTATTTATTTTACTAAAAAAACTTTCTAGTATTTTTTACGTTAACTATGGATGGGTTTAAATATAAATCCGTCATGCGTCGTCTCTTGTTGTTTTTAACCAGTTTTATTGGTTTATTTCAAAAATGACATATCATATTTAAATTTAATTGGTTTGAAGGAACGATGAACGACAAACGGACGCTGATACGTATGAACTCGCCTTTAGATTTTTGAGACTTGTCAAAGTTTTGCCAAGTATAGGTTATAATTTTGTGTCAACTTATGTCAAATATCTGCGTTTTGGAAGATGATGCATTTTGATTGGTTGTGATTATTACGTGTATTTTGTGTCTTTTGAAGTCAAGTGGAGGAAAAATCGAGGGAAAATTAACTCTAGACCCAGAGCACAGTTTATAGTTAATACTTGCTGCCCAGGCAGAAAATCTTATACACCAATAAAGTTACCATCAATAAAGTTTGTATACCATCTTGTCATAGATAAGTGCATCTCGTATATGCTACAAGGATCATTCTAAACATATACCACTGGAGTAGCTGTTAAATATATCGACATCACACGATAGGTAAATAATGGATTTTAGTACTGCAGAAAAATAATGTGAAAAGGTACTGGTTTAAAAAAAATTAAGATTAAAGTTAATTAATCAACCTTTAAGGTATAAAATTTGGTAAGTGTTATTATTAATAAAATAGTTTGTTTTATTAATGTTGTTTTATTTATTCCTGTGGAATATTACAAATTTGTATTTGTACATAAGTTATATTGATAAATAATATAATAATAAATGCGGGAAGTTTCTTGAAGCTTGAAAGTAAGAAATAGTTATTATATTTTTTGGTAAGTGGTGTTTTGTTCTTGTTTGTTTTGCATTAACACATACGGTTTTTTTTTTAATAAAATAACTCATACATTTTTTGAGTTTCATACAGTTTTTTTTCATAATATTTTGAAGTAATTACTTATCAGTCAAATTTTAAATATACTAATTTCCTGCTATGCGTTCCAGTTGTACCAACTTATTTCTTTGTAAAATAAAATAAACTACTTTGAAATTAAAATGACAGACACATCTATCACTGTCAAGGATCTTGTCGTTGGACAGTCTATAGTTCTTGGGGTTATTGTGTCTATGGGTTATTGATGGAATTTTAATTAACGTCATGTTTTTGCTGTTTTAAAATGTTAAAAAAGCACAACACATTTACTTATATAGTTCAATGTTAGGGCGAAAATAGTTATCGGAAAATGTGATACTTTGACAACAGTAAAAAATATGGCATTAATCAAAATTAATAATACCCATCTATCCAAGAATGAAATCAAAATTATAATACACTAGAAACGCCTTTTGATTTGTAGGACTTCAAAGGTAAATTCAACCATATTCTAATAATGTTTCATATAATAATTAATGCTTCATATAATTTTCTCTGAAACGGTATGGGAAATTCGGAAAAATATAAACGGGATTGACCATTTTAGAACAAGCGAAATTTTTTTATGAAGAATGTATTTATCTTAATCTAATAAAAATCAATAATAAAAAAATGTTTCCTCTTGTGCCTCTGTCCAGTTTGTTAAAACAAGATATTATTTCTGTTAAGGAAAACACATTTTTTGTATTGATGGAATTTAAAACATTGTCTTTTCTTTAGGGTTGGGGTGCAGAATATCATAGACAGGATGTTACAAGTACTCCCTGTTGGATAGAAATCCATCTTCACGGTCCGCTCCAATGGTTAGATAAAGTCCTCACACAAATGGGAGCACCTCACAACGCAATCAGTTCTGTTTCCTAATAGCGTTAGTGAGTATATACAATTATTTTAGTTTTAGGGGGCCTTTAATTAATGAAAAAGCTTCAAGAAGTACAAATACCTAATGTATATCTTTCTTAATTTTAACTGTTTCACTCTTTTATATCTCTACATAAGTTGTTTGGTATGAATAAATGATTGTAGAATTAAAAAAATTGATTTAAATTATATAGAAAAGAATATTTAATTTCATGTTTCTTAATTACATAAGACAAAAACCATTCATTATTACTATTTTTGAGCTCAGGAACGATCTAAATTTTTTTAAATTTAATTCAATCTCACCTCTTGTGCCAAAAAGTTTCCTACATGTTTTTTTTTATTATTGAGCTATTGAAAAAAGTACTTATATGCTTCAGCATCTCCAACAATAGAAAAATAAAAATCTCAACAATGAACAGGTTATACGTATATCATGCAACAACCTGTTATGGCAGCTAATTAAAATGTTTGTTCCAACCGGACAAGAGAACCGTCCTAGAACGGTAATTTTGCTATCAGTGAATTCATTTGTTAATCTTGACAAACGATCAAACTTCTCAAACAATAAGTGGGCGACTAGAAATTACCGTCCCAGGATCGGTTCTCGGTCCGGTTGGAACAAACCTAAAAAGTCCTCTATACTTATAAAACTTTTAATAACAAAATATCAAAGAGAAAAGTTCGGAATATAGTTCTACGAGGGCGGTCCGATAAGTCCTCACCGCCCGATGACGCCACTATCGCAAGAGAAATTTACCATCGTGTAGTAGACGGCTACTGTCAAAATTTCAGCCGAATCAGACTCGTAGTTTTGTTTTGGCCACGTGTGGAAGCGGGCGTGTCCGCCGATTTTAGAGAAATGGAGAAAGAACAATATCGATCGGTGATTCGATTCTTGTTTCTGGAAGGAAAATCGCGCAGCGAAATTAAAGAGCGCTTGGATGCTGTGTACGGACTCTTCTCCTTCGATGGCGACTGTCAAAAATGAGTTTCAACGTGGTCGCACGTCGGTTTTTGATGAGCCACGCCCAGGTCCCCCGAAAACGGTTACCACGGAGGATAACATAACAAAAATCCATGATCTCGTATTGGCAGGCCGCCGATTGAAGGTGCGCGAGATAGTTGAGGCAGTAGGCATCTCAAAAGACCGCGTGGGTTATATCCATGAGAAAGTTGTCGGCGCGATGGCTGTTCACTCCGGACAAGCGCAAGCGTGAGACCACTTCAGAGCATTGTTTGACTCTGTTTAAGCGCAATCCGAAGGAGTTTTTGCGTCGTTTCGTGACCGTCGACATAACATGGTACACATCACAATGGTCATGGTACAAACAAGGTCCACTGGTACACACCCAAGGATACTATAGAGATAAGGATAGTTCGATTCCTATCTTCCTGCACTGTCAGTTTTTTTACGTCATCTGGGGACCGAGTTGAAGTTGGCGCTAAAGATTTTAGACAGTGACAGTTATTTTTGCATTTGACGGACGAGCGCACAGTGGAAGATAAATTTAGCGGGACAAAAGCGTTTGGTTAGAAATAAGTCAAAAAATGTGTGCTGTAAGAATAAATAGTAAACATTCCAATTGATATAAAAATGCATGAATATTCTTTGTATTTCGATACATTTTTATCAACCAAATTTGGTCGTTTTCTGCTCAGCAAGGCAGAGATCATATGAAAACAAAATATTTACAAGTGCTTATACATTTTATTCCAAAGCCAAATTATGTTGAAGATTGCCACAGGTATGTACTTTTCTACTGTACGTATATTATTTGTTAAAATCCTTCGTGCCTTTGTTCTGCAGATATCAAACTTTCACTTTTTTTCAAATATCGATATATTGAATGATGTAGATCTTTTGAGTTACCAATAGTTACCAACACAGGTAGTCACAGTCACAGGGAGTTCAAGCTTAACAGGTGAATGCCCAAAAAGTTTCATTTCAATCGGATAGTATCAAAAAAAACAACTCCATCAAAAGGCTCTGAGTTTAAAAAATTGTCTTAGATACTTACTATATATGAATTTACAATTACCGAGTGTTAAAATTAAAATTAAAATATCTTAATTAATTTCTTTAAAATAAAATATAGAGGGTGTCCCAAGATTACAAAGTAATTAAAAAATAACTGCTAAAGAGTTTTTTGTAAGTATTTCACCTGATATCATAATTTTATGTATTTGGCAATAGTTTACAATACGGTTTTTGTGTGTCATGTACGAATAATATCATAGTTTTATTATCTTGTATTTATTTATTAATAAATTAAGTTGTTAATAAATAAATAAATTTAACCATATAGTTGCTATATTAGAGTTATATATATATATATATATATATATATATATATATATATATATATATATTAGACCATTTGCTACGTTCTTAGATTTTAAGTCCCAAACATTGCTCTTGAGATTTTGTCCCGCTAGAATAACCATCCGCCGCACTGTGGAGCGCTGGTCAGCGCGTGACGTAGCATTCCACGGCGACTACGACAGCGGCGATTTGACGCGATCGAACAGTCCTTTAGAATATATACAGTCTTTGGTACACACCAGAGACCAAGGAATAGTTGAAACAGTGGACTTCACCCTGGGGTCTTGTGAATGGAATTCACAAGATCTACATCGACTACCTGGAGAAGGGCAAAACGGTCACAGGGCTGTACTATTCTGAATTGTTGCCGATTCGACGTCGAATTGCAAAAAAACGGCCCCATTTGGCGAAGAAAAAAATGCTCTTCCACCATGACAACGCACCCGCTCACACCTCCGTCCTCGCCACGGCCAAATTTGTCGAATTGGGCTACGAACTGCTGCCCATCCACCGTATTCTCCAGATTTAGCCCCGTGCGACTTCTTTTTGTTTCGAAACTTGAAAAAGTCACTCGCCGGGCAAAAATTTTAGTCGAATGAGGAAGTCATCGCCGCAACGGATGCCTACTTTCCAGACCTCGAGAAAACGTATTTTTCAGAGTGGTTAAAGAAGTTGGAGCATCGCTGGGTCAAGTGTATCGTGTTGAAAGGAGACTATGTTGAGAAATTGCCACTTTTCCAAAATTTTTGTTTTTCTTTTGTGGGCCAAGTACTTATCGGACTACCCTCGTACATCCATGTACCAAGATTCGTAAACATACAGAGACTTTTCAAAAATATCATGTTTTTTTTGTATGAATGATATTAATACCAAGCCGAACCTAATAGAAATGTTTTCTCAATTGTAAATTTTGTTTTACTGTTCTACAGTGAAGTGGAAAAAACTAAAAGTGATAATATTAGAGTATTGACTTTGTTGCCTGTTTTATGTTCTGTAGAATTTTAGCAAAGAAGTACTATTTTTTGAAAATATTCTGAAATGATAAAAAAAATTGAAAGTTCCTGTATTATAAAACACGGTACAAAGATGTAAAATTAAATTCTGAACAACTTTTCCATTTTTTCCAAGTTTAAAGTTGAGTTAATTTCTCGCTAGAGCTAATCTAAGTTACCTAAGGTCATAATCTTTGTTTACCTTTAAATCCGAACCACGGCTTTCAGCCTAGATACAAAGAAAAGAAGTCGTCGGTGATACCGGCACCATTGGTCGGCACGCTCCGGTCGCAAATTTCAAATTGTCAAACTGAAAATGATTTGACATAACTTTTGAGGTTATGTCCTGATTCTTCCCTATTATGTATTATATTATCTGGGACTTTTTCTATTAGTGGCAATTGAACAATATGAATATTTTTGTATGGCATAGTGACGTTACAGGTGATATGCGCAAACTGGACGAAATTGGAGCCGATATCGATCATACCTTGTTTTCTTTGTATTATGGCTTTCAGTCATATAATGACCTACCGACTTAGCGAGTGTCTTAATCGACTCACTATCGAGATATCCTACCTCAGCTGACACTGAGCACTTTTTTCCATATTTTGTCATCTAACCCCACTTTTTACATATTGAAAAAAAGGATATTTATAATTAGCCACAGTGACAGTTACCACATAAAATGTCAAATGGTTGTTTTAATTGGGTATGCTGAAGAAATTCTGCATATCCCTATTGAGTATTGTGGAAAGCATATTACACAAGTACAATATTTAATGAGTGTGTAATATGCTTTTGCAACACACATTACATACTATTTTTTACCTACGACCACATACATTATAAGATTTAAAACAAAACTTTTATTAAATAATGTCATACTAATGTCAAAGTTTTTTGATTTTGACTGATATTAAATTTTACATATTGTCATTACATAAGTAGATAATATTGTGAGTTTGTCACCCTATACATATTAACCAAATAACTATGTAGAGAAAAGTGATATCGAAAAATGCTATATGGAAACTCCCCTCCTCTCTCCACTTTTTAACAATCATCTGTCTTATTTTTTCGCATGTAATTACAGTTTATACCGGGTGGTACATCGTCGTTGGAAACGTAGGAAGTTGCATACAAATTTTGAACTGCCCAAATTTTAGCTCCCCTGTTAATTTCCTGCCTGCGTATGCTGAATACACATGCCAAATTTAAACAATTTTGGACAAGCTGATTTTAATTTAGGAAAAACTGCATCTATTTTTAAATTAAAACTGAACAACTTTGAATAAGAAGACTAAGGAAGGAGCATAATGCTATCCATGTATTCATGCATGGTGGGCGGAAAAAGGACTCTAGGGTGGGGATCCTTGACAGTTCTGTTTGACGATTCATTTGACATATTTGAATTTGATTTGAAATTTTGTGGATTTGTCAGTCTTTACGGAGCTTATTTTATGTTATTTATTATTTATTCTACTACTGATAGTTGTATAAAGGTAGTAAATCTAGATGGAAATTGTGGCAGAACTTAAATTAACAGTGACACTATCGCGATTTATCGAAAAAGACTCTAAAATAGTTGGCTGTGTAGCGTGCGGTAGATCTCGGCAAAAATCGAGTGAAATAATGGAACAACTTTTCGCTAGTAAGTGACTATATAATATACATACGTGTAGTAAACCGATCATTTATGAAATTCACTTAAATTAACTAATTATATATTTTTTCTTGCATTTTTGCTTTTATTTACTACTTGTCAAAGATTAGATGTCAAAGAATTTAGATACGTCAATTTGACTTACCTGCTTCAGTAGAGTATCGGATGTTTATGGTTGTAAATAATTATTATAACTTATCTATTTTTATTAGAATTTTATATTTTTATAACAATTTTAATAACTACCAACATTTATTCACAACGTAAAACAAAAAAAAATTATTGAGTCTACCCCACGTCTACCCTATATCATAGTTTCACATTTTTTAAATAAAATTAGAACGGCACTGATAAACCTGAATTTAAGTCGGCCATATTTGAGGCCCATCGCGGTGGATCTAAGATTTTTGATATGCTCCTTCCTTAGTCTTCTTATTCAAAGCTGAACAGGAACAGGTAACAATAACAATAAAAAACCAGGCAATTTCCATTGTACAAGTTGTGATCCTATAATTTTGTCAATGTCATTTTTTCACCGTTTTATATTACAAAAATACATTTCGTGTAGACAGCACAACAAATTACATTCGACAATGATAAAATCATAGGTTGACAACTTAAGGTATGTTGACATTTGACTGGTTTTGTATTGTTACCTGTTCAGTTTTAATTTAAAAATAGATGTAATTTTTCTTAAATTACTTAAAATTGGCTTGTCAAAAATTGTTCAAATTTGGCATACAGGTTGTTAATTTGTTTATTACTCGCGGCAAGATCTTTATGGTTGAAATATGGCAACCTCGGCCCGCTCGTCGATAGACGACGCTACGGAGTCGGCAGAAAACCCTATAAGTGCATGCGTTCTCAATAGGCAGTGTTGCCATTCTGTTCACCTATAAGTAACTGCCCAGTTAACAACCTGTATGTATTCAGCAGAGGCAGACCTTTAAAAAGCTATTTACGCTTTAGCTGTAAAATTAATAGGGGAGTCTATATTTGGACAGTTCAAAATTTGCATGGGATTTCCGATGTTTCCAACGACGATGCACCACCCGGTATTGCATAGTAAACAACATTATTGGATTATTCCTAATACGAAACGTTCTTTATGATTGAAAGTTGTTTAAAGGTAAAAAGTTGAATACATGCAGCGGAAATGTTAATCTTCCAAGTTTAGTAGATTCGGTTGTTAGATAGCATTAAAATACTAATTGGAGATAATTTACTTAACATTATTTCTGTAACAATAAAAGTTAGATAACTTTGAATAACTATACCCCACACAACATATCTTCCAAAGTTTTACAGTGAAAAGATATTCACAGCTAGATATTCAGTGCTTGATATTTTATTTGGCAAAAGAGAACCTACTCAAAAACTTAAAAGGCCCTCAAGATGACCTGAATTATAAAATATATATATAATTTTAAGTTTTTCTACTGTGGCATCTGGCTGCCTTTTTTGCAATTTA